AGTAGTAGCAGTAGTAGTAGTAGTAGTAGTAGTAGTAGTAGTAGTAGTAGTAGTAGTAGTAGTAGTAGTAGTAGTAGTAGTAGTAGTAGTAGTAGTAGTAGTAGTAGTAGTAGTAGTAGTAGTAGTAGTAGAAGTAGTAGTAGTAGTAGTAGTAGTAGTTGTTGTTGTTGTTGTTGTAGTTGTAGTTATTATCATCATTATTATTCTCACATTCGACAGAGGGAGTGTCATTCAACCAACAAATTAGTGCATCGAAAGAAAATTGGGAGGAGAGGAGCGCAAGTATTCCCACTCGTTTACGACCGACAGTTAGGTTATGCGAAAGCATAACGTCTCGAGGGATGTTTGGGGCGTGTGGATCAGACCAGGCCCTTTGTTAGACGCCCCGCTGCGCCAAGGTCATTCACCCTCTCCGCGAGCGATTCCGGACGTGCCGACCTCAGCACCGTCTGGCCGGCTGCAATACGCGCACACGCGAGCGCATGCACACGTTAACAGCCGTCACGGCTACATTTGGAGGCTTCACGCCTCAGTCAGTGCAACGAAAGTTCGACCATCACAGCCGACAGCTCCACAGCAGGGTGAGGGTGGGAACGGTGACCTGCGCGTAAAAAGTTTTACAGTGAGGGTAGACTTGCAAAATCTACCGCACTCTCTCCTTCTCCCTGGTGTTAGACGGAGCTTAGAAGACGGAGGGCGCTGGTGGTTGGCGCGGACGGATCCGCACCTTGGCGTGCCACCACACCACCTGGTCCACAACGTACACTGATCACAATAATAAAAGGAGAGCGGCACGGATCCCACTGGACAGGAGTAAAATAGGTGGGGCCACATTAGGAGCCATGGCAGCCTGACTCTCAGTTCACTAGCCCGACACTCCATACGAACACACACACTGGGCTGACTTCGAGGGCCGAGCTATCCCGTCAGCTGGCAACCTAACAAGCCAGGACTTTTAGCGCACCGTGATAGTTTCGAGCACGTCAGGCTGTTTATAGTGGAAAATTACACACTGCGAGCCGACCTCATTCACTCTGTCCCATGCCACGCACCAGTCGGCTTTCCTGGCCGGTCAGTCGCCTGATGCTAGGATTGGGGAGGCGACTGACAGCTGCGCGTCTGTGCGTCTCACACACGACATGGCATTCCACACAGCAGGGGGTAGACCGCCCCGATCTCACGTGCAGTAGAGAAGCCAAATTAGGCGCTTATCATCTATAATCACCAGGTTTACACTCCATCGTAGTAACAGTTGCACGGCATGAATTCTAAAGATTCAAATCCGTTTCAGATCCTCTACATCCGCCTCAGTTTCACTAAAAGAAGACTGAGGCTAAATGAGTGGAATTCAATGTTGGTAGCAGAATCGTCAAGATGACAGCTTTGTACATCTTCAGTGTTGTGTTCAGGTGGCGAGCGCAGCGACTTCCTACGAAGTCTTGAAGCTGGCCGAACGCTTGACTGGTTGTAGAGATTCAATGGTAGGAGGCGCCCAACTGATCGTTCCGTTGTATCTTACCAGCTCTCTCTCTCTCGATCCCAACCAGCAGCCGCACAGCGGCGCATGATATATAGGCAGAATGATATTACCGACAAAGACAAGGGAGACTGGAATGGCCATTTCTGGCTTATTAGCCGTCGTCAGCCAGCCATACCCAACCACGAAGTGTGCAACACCCGAGGCTCAAACTCGCGACCTGTTACTTAGAAGTCCATGCCTCTAAACACTGGGCTACGAACCGACTGTGTCTGCGGTTGGGCTCGAGAGAGAGTCCGTAGGGCACAACGGAACGAGTGAGTTCCGTAAGAACGATCGGTGAATGTCCCCCACCATTGTATACCCCCGATCGAAACTGACAGGGTAACGGGCTCGTGGCCCAGTGGTTGGAGGCGTGGACCTATAAGTAACAGGTCGCGAGTTCGAGCCTCGGGTGTTTCACACTTCGGGGTTAGGTATGACTGGCTGACGACGGCTAATAAGCCAGAAATGGCCATTCCAGTCTCCCTTGTATTTGTCGGTAATAACATCCTGTGGAGATTCAGTTAGTCACTTCATCGTCGATCTTGATGCAGCCTGAGATTGCCCTGTCTAATTTGGGCGACGTTGCATGCGGTTTTCGTTTGGGTACCGTTGACGTTCAGCGTTGGCTGACAGTTGATGCATGACTTCCGTATGGTCAGTCCGAAGTTGACGCAGCCGGAGACGGAGAGGTCTGTGCTCCGTTGCAGGTTTTCTTCTATCGCGGTGTTGAACGTGCAGTCATCCGCGAAGAGCAGATCGTGGACGCTTGCCGTAAGGAGACGCGCTGAGGCCTACATGCGCCGGCTGTTAAGATGGCCGTTGGCCCTGTGGGAGCGTTCACTGTGGTAGGCGTCTATCAGGACAAAATAAAATATGAGGTTGAAGAGGTTTGGGGTGGGGACACAGCCCTGCATCACTCCGTAGTTTATTGCAAATGCTTCACAGACGGTCCCCGGCACGCGTGCTATCCTTCCCTCACGGAGCTGACACCCCACGTGCGTGAATCGTTCAGGACAGACAAAATTCTGCTTGATTTTCAACATTCCACTGTGATTCATCGTGTCAGAGGTTTTCGTCGAGTCCACAAAGGTGAGTCCGCAGCTGGAGGGCGGCGAAGATAATCTCAGTGATTTCACGACGGCGTCGAATCTGCACTGACCTTCCGACAGAAGTACCTCTTCGAGATAGTCGTCGATACGGTTGCGAAGGATGCGAGAGAGGACCCTCCCAGCGACTTCCTAGCAAGCAGATGTCTCTGTTGTTATCACAGAGTTGTCGGTTCCCTTTCTGTCTATAGAGATGGAAGATTGCCGCATCCATAAAGTCCTGAGTAACTTACCGTCGACGCCACACCAACTGGAATAGCGTTGTGAATTAAGCCATCGATGCATGACCTGCGAGCTTGTAGACTTCGACTGAGATAAAGTCTAATTCCGGTCCTTCCCCGGAGAGTTTGTGCGCCGCCCTGATCGGTTCTGGGAGAAAGGGTAGAAGGTCTAGGTCGTCTTTCGTCTCCACTTGAGGAATTCGGTCGATGACAGCGTTGGAGACTGTAGATGGGCGGTTGAGGACACTTCTGAAGTGTTAAGCCCAGCCCTTTAGAATCAGGAATTTTCCCTTCAGGAGTATTGTTCCATCAGATGTGAAACGTGGAGCTGTTTCTTTGATCGTGCGGCCGTAGGCCACTTTAGTTGATGCAAAGAATTCCCTCGTTTTATTGCGGTCATCACATCCTAGATTTCTTTAACCTCGCGATTCATCCACGTGTCCTGCATCCTCCGCAGTCGTTGCTCCACGGGGCAGCGATATCGAAAGGAGCCCGCCTTCTTCGCGTCGGTCTGATGGTCCAAGTAGGCTTTGTTCAGCTTGTGCTTTTTGGTTAGCAGATTGCTAATGTCTGCGTAGTTGTCGTTGGACACGTCCTAATATTGACAATCTCCGCGTCCAGCGACGTCCTAGGCGGTGGACACCTCCAAGTCTCCACGGTGGCGTTGTCACCCAGAGCTGATTGTTCTCCCGGCTGCCGAGCTAACCGATTGCCAAAATCCAAGCTGTGAGCAGACAAATCCAAGAGAGTAGACTTAAGCTTACCTAGTGGTCACTTGCCTTGCGGTTTCCTGTGAGATTTCAGTCGAAGCGTCATCTTTGATATGACGAGGCGGCGACCCGTCCACCCATTGGCGTCAAAGATAACCTTGGTACCAGCATGTCCTGTCCACACAGTGATCGAGAATGCATTCAGATCGTCTTCTTCCGCATCGGGGGGGGGGGGGCGGAAGAGGGTGTTGGTGTTTCGCGGGTCCGCAGGAGGAAGAGGCCCTTGTCATTTCACTCTCCGATCACGTGACGACCCAGTATTCCCCTCCATGCAGCGTAGTCTGTCCCGACTCGGGCAATGGGTCATCAAGGACGTAGGGGTGTCTGGTCAGGGGCTCCCGTGCATGAGCGGTAGATTGCGCAATACAAATGGTGACTGCCCTCACTGCCAACTCTCATTTGTGGCTTCCCGAAGCTCTGCCAAGTAGCCATACCCCGGTAACTGGTGAGCTAAACCAGATGAGGGTGTTAGGTGCTGTTTGATTACACAGTCGGTAATTCTGTGATCATCCTATCCTCCCCCTTCATCCCCTCCCCTCCATTTTCCAGTCCTCCGTTCCACTTCCTCGTCAAAAGTCCTCCGGATAAGGCAACACGCAATCCCGTCGGCGGCCCAGGCTAACTTGGATCTTCCTCAACCAAACAAAACTGTGGTCCATATTGGAGTGTGGTAACCGTCTGGAGTGTCTGTTAGTATACCGTGGCTTGTAGATGCAAGTCTCCCAGTCGAAAATCTGCAATGAGCAACAACCACCCTCATCCCTCTCTGCTGGGGTGAGTCCGCTCACTCTGGCAGTCTGGAATATTCGTTCCCTCTTAAACAATCCAGGGAGCAACCAACCGGAACGGAGGACAGCGCTAATGCCCCGGGAACTGGCGCGCTACACGGTGGACATCGCCGCTCCCAAGGAGACTCGCTTCTCCGAACAAGGCCAACTGGTGGAGGTAGATGCACGCTACACCTGGAGCGGCCGCCCCATGGCAGAGCGATGAGACGCGGGCGTTGCCTATGCCGTCCGGAACGACATCGTGGGACGGCTGCCCTCTCTGCCGTTGGGCGTCAAGGACCGCCTCATGAGCCTGCACCTGCCTATTCGGGAGCAATATTTGCCGCCACCACCATCAGTACCTTTGTTCCCTCCCCCCAATGACCAGCTCCGACGAGGCGAAGACCAAGTTTTAAGAAGACCTGCACACCCTCCTGGCAGTTGTACCGCAGGTGGAAAAGCTGACTATCTTCGGCCAGTGCAAAACAGACCGCTATACACATTGACCTCGTCCGAGACGACATTCTTGTGACTTTTATCTTTTGCCACAACTCGGATTTTCGGCCAATGATTGCGGAGGTCGGCGTACTTAGGTGATACAGAACTTTCCTTCTTCGGTATTTCTGCCGATTTGTTTAAACATAATATTCAGTCACTCAGGAATGGGCGCACACCTATCTATTGGCTTCACGAAGCAAACAAGCTCCGTAAGCTATTATGGCTTGGCCGATTTCGGCCTGATAATTGGTTGCCTGTTGGTGACCTTTGCCACCCATACGGAGCTTGTTTGCTTCGTGAAGCCAATAGATCGGTGTGTGCCCATTCCTCATTGAATAAATACCCGATCTGCATCAACCGAGAATGACAGGTGGTGAGGCACTTGTGGACTTCAGTTCGATGAAGTGTTTATAACCCATCTGATAGACCCCAGTGGTGGACCAATTGCGCCAGGTGCGTCTGTGCGCATGTTTGTGTTTCTGGTCCCAGCTGCTGGTGGTCAGGGTTATGATTGGCTGAATGAAGGCACAATAAGCCCGAAACAGTACTGTATCAATCCACCTGCATTCTCTGTCGTCCCTCCTCGATGATATTCAGTGCTGAGACATTCTCTGAGCAGAGGAATCAGTCACGTCGGAAAGGCGCGGGCGCTCAACTATCCTGGTGACAGAGGGCCAAATTGCCGAGTAATCATCACATCAACATTCAACACGGATGATGAAGTTGCGGCAATTATCGACTCTGACGCTTACTGACCAGCCATGATCGCCTTAATTACGACCCCCAGCGGTTATCACTAGAGCTGTTAATTGTAGTACAATGTGACCCCACGGCAGCTTCGTACTATAAATGCTGCAGTCGTTTGTGCCGCCACTACCCATATCCTCGACCGTCTCTAATGATGGGTTCGAGCGAGAATCCGAAACGTCAGGCCAATAAACATCTTGTTCCAGGGATCGCATTTTCTTATTCTTCTGAGATGAGTTTATTGTCGTCGCCAGAGGTCGCCTAAACAGCTGTTTGTCTAATAATATGTCCATTTGTAGGAGTACCTTGTGTTTGGCCACCATCCCCCCATAAGTTTTTTTTTAAGTTTTATTCTTCTCTTCCACCACTCAGTCTGCCGATACCCACAGTTTTCATCAGCGCATGCATTTTAATCCTTCCGGGGTGATGCCGGTTGCTTTGGAACGGGAAACAAAACAATCGCTAATTGTTATCGGATCAACAACATCAGGAATGCCTTCGCAGGCCTGTAAGCGCTCTACTTACTCGGGTAATTCGACGTACCCGTTTTTGCAGTCAGAATGCGGTGCTCGATAGCACTCGCGCTGAGCGAGTACTTTAAACTAATAGCCGGCAGAGAGTGGATTAGGCCGTATTTACACCATTGAGGGTGTAAACATACTGCCACCCAGCCGGGTACCCTTCTTCGCGCCCAACAAGCTTTACGATCAGGCCACATACAGTTTACGGTAAGCCTTTTCGGGCGTTTTTCAAAGCGCGCCATTGTTTCTGCTATCCATGTACCACAAACTGTCATCCGTGTTGATGACATTTATTAGCCCCCATTTGCAGCACGAGCGTTTTCATTTAATATGGCCTGAAGGCAGTCAGATAGGTAATTGCGAATTAGTCCAGGCTGACCTGTCTGAAGTAAATAACCAGTGTAGCTTAGTCTGGGTTAAAATACATACACTTCCGCTTCTGCCGTCGAAAAGGAAATGAGAAAGGAGATTAATGACGAAAATCCAGTGCTATGCTGTCAGAAGACTCTGACACAGGCGCTCTGTCTTCCGTGGCCGACGCCGACACCAACGTCTCCCCAACCTCCTGATGCCAGGGTGTGTGCACAAGGTACCCGACGTACTCACAGCGTATGCCCCCTTTCTTCCTCGCCCCCTGAACCCAATGACCACGACACGCCGACCACGCCATAGCACGCCTCGTCATGCGAGTGGCGTGGGAACGATCGATGTTAATTGTCCCCGAATCATTTATAAGTCATGTAATTCGCATAACTTAACCTTCATTGTAACCGTTTTGGCCTGATGAAGAGTTACTGAAAACACGTGTTCGCCAATTTGACTTTTCAATAAAAAAAACGGTTGGAACGTAGCTCAAACCGAAGGTTAAATACCTTTTTGTACCTCTTAGGGGCTGCCTTGCCTAATAACGCAGACTTACCTTGCGACCCTTCACACTAGGAGATCCCGTTTGCCCCTAAAAAATGACAGGCCAATCTCACAAAACGCTAACCGAAATTCCACTAGCGCTCTCGAATAAAGGGACCACTTTCGTGAGGCTGACATCCTTTCGAGTCCAAAATGCTATAGGATTATGCTGCATGATAATCAGTATAGCAACCCCACTTAAGTAATCCTTCCTAATCGGAAACGCATTCCAGAATTTTGGCCAACATTTCATGAGATCGGTCACGCACTGTAGTTCTACTTTCGGAGTTGCAATTTAAATCAAGTCTACTGCAAAAATTTATGAGCCCAACATAGTAACTTCCTGAAGACATTGAGGAATGCAGGATTTCCCGTACATGGAAGGCATACAAGCTGTTAACTGTAAAACCTAAACGCATATGCAATGGCAGGTCGAGCTGAAAATTATTCGGAAAAAAACTTCTTACAACATAAATATACCCTTCCTTCGAATATAGAATTCAGAGAAGATTTGATTTGTCAGGATAGGAAAGGATATTTCAAAACACATGTTCAGCAAAATATACTTGAATTTACAAAGTCACAAAAAATCATCCATACTACTCGCGTTGTCATTTTTTACCGAGTACGGCTTTGCAGACATCAACAAGAATTACATTAGAAGGCTGACATCCTGGTCTGACTGAATCATCTTGAACTTGTAGCAGCCGCTCCAGTCCCCCTTTTCTCCGGCTCCGTTTTGTCGAACAATGACCGCGACAGCTGCTGACACACAGCCACCCCCGCCGGCTAACACTCAGACACCTCCGGTCCAACTTCAGTGACTGTCGGCTGACTTCACAAACTTTCATCACCTCACGCACGTCTAACACCCTGACCTGATAACCGTGAGGCATTGTGAGTATGCGCCCTCCATTCCTCCCCTAATTTGTCCAATCACACGACCAACACTCAGCCAGTCACCCCTCCTGCTGACCCAGGCACCCACTCCCGCGTAAACAACACCCATTCCGCGACTGACACATTCCGTGAACGGACGTTTATCTCTGTCGCAAGCAAACAGCCAACTTTCGGCAATCTGCCCTGTGTACGGAATTAATTACTCCTCACAGCTCCCTGAATTCTGACAGTAGACGAAACGAACTTATTGTGTACGATTTAAGTTTATCTCACATCCTTGACCGCCACAAACTTATGCCTCACGATAATCAATGTTAGACGCCAACTGGAGCAAATCTTCCTAATCCTAAACGCGCTTAAGAATGTCGGTTAGTATTTTATGAGAGTAGTCACTGATTACATCTGTTACTGTTTTAAGTTCAAACTATCTTAGGAGGTATACGTGTGTGCTACGATTCTGGAGAATTCAGTTCTAATCACGTGCGGTTATCTACGCGTGCCTTCAGGTTAGCTCGTAAATTAGATTGTTTACTTGAACACTTACGATAGTTTCCTTAGGCTGCCTCTCATGGTGTTAGAAGATGGACGTTCCAATAGTGTACAAACCAGGTTAAGAATGGCTTGTATGCTACGACCGCTCTCTGAATCCCCGCCAAACGTGCCACGTTTGTAGCATTCCTTGGTCGGGCGACGCTGAATTCATGTCGGACACTAACAAGCGTTTAGCGACAGTTTGTCCACATCGTGCTCCAAGGTAGGTTGGGAGCAGGGGCGGTGACTTGCGCAGAATTTCGTTCAAATTGGCAGTAGACTTGCGCAGCATCTACCGCGCTCTCCCTTCACTCCCGTTCCTAGGCCTAGTGTCATGACAGAGCCAAGAACATTGCTGATAGAAGCGAACAGGCGAGTTCTAGGCAGCAGTTCAGAAGATGAAGATGCGACCACTGGAACAAGAATTTTATTTGCCTGACGTTTCGGATTCTCACTCGAATCCATCATCAGAGACATTCGCAGATAAAAGTGGTGGTGGCACTAGGAGTGCAGTATTTATAGCAATTGGCTGCCGTGGGACCGTATGCGCACTGCAATTAACAGTCCTCGCAATCACCGCTGGGGTCGTAATTGATGCGGTGGTGGCTTGGCGGTCCGAGTCCGAGTCGTTAATTGCCGCGATATCGTCATCCGTGCTGGATGCTGGTGTGACGATTGTTCGGCAAACTGGCTCACTGTCACCGTGATGATTGCTCGCCCGCGCCCTCCCCACGTGACTGATTCTCCTGACCAGGGAAAATCGCAATACGGAATAAGCCACCGGGAGGTCATTGTGTTTGTTGATGGATTGCGGGCCTGAGAACCATGACTCGAGCAGCTCGCGGCTCACGCGGTTGTCATCCCTTGCGAGGATTTCGGCCTCTTGAAATTTGAAAATATGGCCGGGTCCCGTCGAGTGTGCCGCCATCTGAGAGTTAGCGTCTCCCCGCCTCACTGCTGCTGCGTGCTCGGCAATTCGCGTACGGAGTAATCTCCCAGTTTCTCCGACATAACTGCTTTGTCCACATCTACACCAGATCCGGTAAACGACTCCAGACGTTTCCTGCTGTGGCAGCAGGGCCTTTTGGCCTCATGACATGGCGCCTTATGGTTGCTTCCGGCC